TGGAACCACCCTATCTGAAAATAAGGTATATGGTTCTTGGGCACCTAATGCTTGTAGCTCCAAGACTCTCCTCCTTGAGGTTATGGCCACGTAGGTCTCTTGCACACGGGCTTTGTGAGTGACATCTACAGTGGAACAATTTTCTGTTGGAGCAAAGGTATCATGGGGATGCACAATTGTTAGATAAGGAAGATGTTGCTCTGGGGGGGCACAACAGCCTTCATAAACTGTTCAATTTAATAAATATTTGCCCACTTCCTGTTTGAACCAAAGACAAGCAAAAGGCACCAGACAAGAGCATCCCACTCATAAACCAGTGAACAGGGAGAAAGAAGAAAAAACAGAAACAATAAAAAACTTTAGCTGAATCTATAGATTCCTTGCAAACTCCAAAACGTCCATGTAAAACAGTCCATAAAGTCTTTATCCTGCTCCACCCAACACCAGCAGCTGCTCATAAGAGTGAAATGACAGCTGAGAAAATAAAAAGGAACAGCAGAGAGCGCCAGACTAAGTGCAGTAGTATAGGCACAGTTTTTATTAAGACAATTGGAAACTCACTTTTAGATGTAAAAACAAAGCATGTCTCCATGATTTAAATTAGTTGTCTCTGTAAGTCTGCAAGGTGGATAGTCAGGATGCTGCTGAGGCCACCAGCAGGATCAGATGCTGCTGTAGGCAGGGCTGCTGCTAGATTATTTTGTGCCCTAGGCAAGACCAGCTACTTTCACCCCCCACCACCATCATCCCCTCCCAAATAACTAAAAACAGTAGAAAATATTAAATCAACAAAACATGAAACTGCTACATTTCTTTTCATTTGCAAAGATACGTGCCATAAGATGCCACCAGCACCAATATTAAAGACAAAATAAGTGTAACGGACGAACTGTACCTGTGACTGGTATTGGTAGGGTGACAATTGCAGTGAGTGGAGGATGATGTACCCACTGGCTGGAATTCCTCAGGCAATGGGAGGATATAAAATGCTGTAACATCATGCAGCTGAAATGAGTGATCCCATACAGTGACAGGTCCGACATAACACACCACCACCAAAACTGATACTGATACAGATCAGCAGGCCCAGCAGGCACTAGAAGAGAAGGCTGTGGGATTGTGATGATGTCATCACTCACTGACATTTTGCACATGTGATGGATGTCCGGCCAGTCAGGTCACACTCACACAGACATAAGACATTGGAGTAAGACATTACCTTCCTCTACAGGAGCACTCCGCCTCCGCCGATGAATGGGAAGAGAAGGGCTGGAACTCCACAGTGATCAGCAGCAACCAGCCGGCTTGCAGTAAGGGACTGCGTCTGAGAAGAACATTGGAAGGAGAGGCAGCTCAGCTGCTACAATTGCCCCAGACACCCAGCATCTTACTCTGTCCTTTCTTCCTCCCCCTCTACTGCCCCTCCCCTCAGCTGAAGGATCATTCATGATGTGGCGGTATCCCACACAGAGTGCTGGCGTGTGCTGCGCCCAGGTTCCCCTAGATGGCAGTGTGCCGTAGGCAGCTGCCTAGTTTGCCTAGTAGAAGCATCGGCCCTGGCTGTAGGATGAGCCATATAATGCAAAGAACCAGGCTCATACTACTTCACTTAGTCTGGCGCCCTCTGTTCTTCCTTTTTATTTTCCACTTCTTTTTTGAGACTATGGAAATAGCTGAAACTTTTAAAGAATGTTGTAGGAATCACTGACTGCTGTAGGGTCACTGGCTCACTGGTGACAAATACATGCGAACAGAGGCAGCTCCTTTCAGCCTGCCATTGCTTTGTACAGATTTCCTAGCTGCACCTGCTCACTCACATCTGTGATTCTAGGGGCAGTAATCTGCTGTCCAGCCCTAAATGCAGGTGTGAATGAGCCCAAACACCATAGGTCTCAGACTCAATAGTGTGCTGTTAGAGGGCTGTGAAACTATGAAAACCCAGCAGCCTGCAGTAATGTCTACTGGTATCGCCCTCTCGTTGAGATGAACAAAACTTGAGAGTGAGACCTGAGGCTGCCGTTTCTGTAACCTGTCATCTAATATCAGTTCAGTAAATGTTATTTTTCATTGTTTTTTAACTGTGTGTGTTATTTCTTTGGGATTATGTTGAGAGACTTAAATTGCACATATAATCAGCTTCTTGGGGTACGAGCACAAGAGTTTAAGCTGAACAATCAAAGGGGATTGGTCTGGAGGGATCACATGGGAGACCACCACACAAAAAAATGTTTATTCTGAGAATAGGTCTTTGAAAAAAAGAATAGCAAGGGTGCAGAAGACTTTAGACTCACATGGATCAACTATAGACCTTATGGTAAATTAACATTGTAGCCTTGAGCGTCAAAGGAATCATAGACTCAGAAATGCCCTTGTTACTTAGAACCTGGGCTTCAACAGCCATGCTTCTAAAGTCAGTGACCAAGGAGCAGGAAGGCGAATGGGTCCTTGAAACAGGAACACTGGAATGTCGATGCTGAGGAGCAGAGGAGAAAGGAACTTCTTTGCTCCACAGACCCCACAAAGCCACTATGTCATTTACTTTTTTTTTTTACTTGTTGATCCGTGGATCCCGGGATCTGCATATAAATCTGTCCAGTTGTTGCTGAACCTGGAGTCTAGAGGGTCCACATCTAGAATCCCCCACCTCTGTGTCATGTACCTGAATGAGGAGCCCAAGATGACAAAGGTGGTACAACTCTTGTCTGAGCACACCTGGACGCTAAGACAAGTCATGCAAGGATGATAGAAAGGCACAAGTGCTTTATTGCTGAAACTAGTAACTAGAACATGAGAGTGCTGGAGTACAGCTGGTAATCGTCTGAGAATTCACCAGGTTCAGATAGTGGTGGAGTCAGCTTACAGGCTGGTGTCAGCAACAGAAAAGCAGCAAAGCACCAAATGTCCAGGTTAAAGATGGTAAGGGTAGTAATCAGCAACTAGTGACACACAAATACAATCCAATGGAAGTCAGACAGAAGCTGGGAGTGCTTCCTCACAATTTTGTTTATTTTCTAAACTTCAGTTCCACTTTCACTCAATAAAACAGAAGTACTAAGAAGACAACAATCCTCCTAGGACACTAATAAAAAACTAACTCATGCTGGTAGAAGGAGGGGTTATACCATGGGTTGGCCTACAATTGTTTTATTTTTTTTTCCCAGTGTCCGATCCTTTTGTATACCTGAAGGTTTAAGAATTCCAGTGTCCCTTAATGGATGAGAATGAAAAGATTTTTTAATAACGTCAATAGAATCCATATGCTTGTGTGTGTTTTCAATTCTGTGATTCCATATACAAGATGCCCGCATATCACTATTATGCCTTTTGATTCCATTTATACGCTTTTTCTGATTTCTCTTTTTTTATCCTTTAATGCTGCTACATTTCTCCTGCTTTCTCCATACATTAAATCTCCTTATATCTATATTCTAATCTCTTTCCCTTTTAATTCTAAATCAGATTTCTATAATTGCCATGTCTTTTCCACTCTATTTCCAGCTGGATCTTTAACTATAAATATTTTCTACCAAATCACTGCATGCTTTGTGCATCGCTTGCTGTCATTAAGAGATGGATGTACTCACACCCAAATTATGTCTGCTGATGTGTCAGAACACCATCCTTGTATAGGTTTTCAAATCCCAACATCCATTCATGATGTCCCTGTATCTGCATCAAAGTCAACACACACCGACGTCCAATGACATCATAGCATTGTCTCCACCTATCTCCACTGTCCAACCTACCCATTCCACCATGCTGCATGTTTTCTATAGGGCTGGTCGGTTACATTAAGTTGCCACTAGCTGTTCTCATCAGCGCCCCACTTAGATACAGGTGCTTTATTAACCTTCAAGGGTATGTAAAGTTATAATTTTTTCAGAAAAACATCTTTAGTACACATTGGGAATATATGTACATTTTCCCCATCTTTTACCTCTTTAAAGGAGAAGTGTGGGATTTGAAAAAAAATAAACACAAAAATTCACCTCCATGCTGCAGCTGTTCCTGGTCAGTTCTAACACCAATAACTAAGAGATCACATGACTGCTGACTGCTCAGTTCTCAGTCTGCTCAGAGTGGAGAGTAGCGACAGTCAGTCACCGCTCTCATCTCTGCCATTCCAGCACTTACTGGAGTACTGAGCAGGGGAGAGGCGGGAGCAGCTGGCTCAGTCTCTCAGAGCTCAGAGGCACGCTTAGCCTGCTTTCACACTGATCCGCCGCAAAATCGCCTAAAAAAAAGCATAGGCGTTTTTACCACATTCTTGCCGCATTTTTTAAAGGACACGTGACTTAAAACTGCACCAAAAATGATTCTTAGAGGCGTTTTCCATTGATTTCAATGGGAAGAGGCGTTGTTTTTTTTTTTGCTCTGTGACATCAGCTGACAGAGGGCAATAGAAAGAGGTAAGAAATGTTCCAACGGATTCAATGTAGAATCTCTGCAACAAGCTACAGTCAACAATAAAGCTACTTTCACACTGATGCTTTTTTACCAGCTAAAAATTCAAGAGAAATGCAATAAAATATTTCCCTTTAAATCCTATGGGGCTCTTCACATCACTGCGAGTGTGACGCATTCTGGAATGTCCTGCTTGCTGAATCTTTGGTGCGCTTTTCTAAACCATGCCAAAAATGCAGCTCCCTATTGTGTGCAGGCAACCAGAAAATGCACTGGAAATGCAGCACAAACGCATATGCGTTTTTACCAGGGAGTGGTGTGAAAGCAGTAATGTTACTTTGCATCAGGTCCTTACTGTTTATGTGAGATTACAGTTAATTGTTATTTGAAACAGTTTAGGAAACCTCCCCGATAAGAAAACAACATTACTTCAAATAACACTGATATTTATTATTTACAATGTGATTATATTTCTACATTCCATGTACCTTACTCTTTTTTTTTCATCTCAGTAAAAATTTGAATACAAAACATCTGCAATTGTGTCTAAGCTTTGGACTTTGGACATGCCAATGACTGACTTTGCTGAACATCTGTTAGAGCTTGGCCTTGCTGACAGCAGTTCCCAGTTCTGGATATCTGTCAATTAGACGCTGTGCTTCTCTCTGTCCAGACATCAACGCACCATGAGTAGTAGAATAAAAGTTTCTTTCTGTAGCTTCTCCCGCAAACAGAACCTGTGAAGGCTAAGAAAACAGAATAACCGTTTCATTTGTTTTTTTTGCTAACTTTTTACAAGATAGATATCATTTTGGTGTAGATTAGTTACTTTGAGGGCTTACTTACATCTATGCAGTTTACTCCCTAATGTGTTTTCCATTGAAATCAATGGAATCACATCAAAAAGCATGTTAATACGTTCCCACGCATTTTTTGAAGACGTACATCATGACGCACGCTGACTTGCATCTTAAAGCATGCACGGACATGCATTTTGATTAAAGGATAAGTTCACCTTTGGGAGCATGTTACGCATTACACCTATATTTAGGATGCAATGTGTAACATCCCCCAGACGTTGCCCCTCCTCCGCACCCCCCATGACAGTGGGCGGGGGTTCTCTTCTTCTCTCCACACCCGTTGTCACAGTTTAAAAATATCCTAGCTGTGCAGGACACACAGTTACATCATTCATTCACAGAGATCTGTGAATGGATGGACTACAAGTACCATCTTCCACCGCAACAGACAGCTTGTAGTGCTCAATGAGCTGTGAGGTCACTGGTGTACAGGAGGTATGGGCAGACAGCTATACTGAGAGTCTGCAGGAGCCTGACACTTCATACGTGATCTACTGATCACAGGTGCAATGCTTTCCAGGCTTCTGCAGGAAAAAAGTATAAATGCACATTTTTTTCAGCAGAAATATGTGCATTTATTATATTTTTTCTAAAAGCTGAACTTAGCCGTTAAGACTGGGTTCACACTATTGCATTAATGCAAATTATGAGCACAGCAGTGACATTCATTTTGAAAGTAACCTCAACACACTAAGGCAATGCTCTTGCATTGTATTCCCAAAAAAAAAGGGTCAGGAGCACTTTTGGCTGTGCAGTGTAGCACTGACAGCCCATTCAAAATGATTGAGTTGCCTTAATGTTAACATGGCGTTTTTGAAACCACCTCTGTGATCCCAGCCTTAAATGGAAAACACTGTATAAGCAAAAATGCCTTAAAGCTTGGTTGGGTTCACATTCATCCTCTAAACATCAATTATTATATCTCCCCAAAATCCTAGTTACAGTAGACATGACTGAACTTTTTAGAAACATTGCTCAGCTAGCAGTTCTAATGATACTTGATTTGTTTTGTTGGATTACTGACTGAAGAATAGGGCTTAGTTCACACTAACCAACTCCAAAGTCGCATGATTTTCAGTGCAACTTTGGAGTCTGAATTTGATGTGACCTTGATAAGACTTCTACACTCTCTGGCACTGAAGCCATTTCAAAGTCAGATCAAAGCAATGCAGATACCTTTTCAGAAGTCGCAGCAACTTCAGTGTCAATTAGAATGGCTCTTATAAAGCTACATGGCATTTCACATGTCATGTCCTGTGACTTTGAGTCTCACAAGTCGGATCCTAAGGAGTGTGAACCAAGCCTTACTGTTGGATTACTGAAGGAGGAATATATATTGTGGGACAAGAGAAAACAAACACCTCATGGATTAAAAATAATGCCCTTAAATCCAATGCCTTGGCTACTTATTTGCTTCACTTAATGTCTTACCTTTGCAGTATCCTTATCTTTGGGTAAAGGCTCTGCAAGACTGTCAATATCACTTCCAGAACTGCCGACAGCAACATAACTGTAGGAGCCACCAGTGTAAGGTTGGCTATGCCACTTGCTTCGCAAAATACTGATGGGTGGGGGTAGCTCAGGGTTACCTATATAGGGTTAGAGAAAGAATAAAGATAAATGCAGGTTTATTGCCAACCTTCTGACAGTCCTGAGTATTGTTCAGACAGACTGGGATACATAATTAAAAGAATTATTCCACCCACTACTTACATATATAAGCAACAATAACAAGTAAAGTGATCTAGAGGAGGCCTGTAGAACCCAAACCAATATACACTATATGACCAATAGGTGCATAAAATCAAACCATGTGCTCTCCATTGACAAACACTAGAGGTAGAATGAGTTGTACTTAAGAGCTCAGTTATTTTAAACATTGTGGTGGATACCAAGAGAACATTACTGTCTGGACTGCATAGTGTCTCCTGTAAATTTTAGTAGAGCATGAATAATGGTTTGGGACTGCTTTCAGGGCTTGAGCAAGACATCTTGGTTCCAGCCAAGGGTATTCTTAGGCTGGACAACATTATACAATTTTCTTGTACAATTTTCCTTTAGATTTACCAAAACCATATAATATGAGGTCAAACCTAAACACTTTCAATTGGTATGCAATCAGGCAGGACCTTGCACTACATAGTTGAAGGTAAATCTAGAGGAAAATGAACAAGAGAAAATTGTATAATATATGACCAGTCTTTATGCTAAAATATACATAAATACATTTTAGACCATTTTGAATAACTTTGTGGTAACATTTGGGGAAGGCCTTTTTCTGTTTCAACATGACTGTGCTCCTGCGCACATAGCATGGTCCATAAAGGCCTACAGACTTAAGCTAAGCTTTATTGAACACTTTTGGGATTTTTTGGAGCACTGACTGAAAACCAGGTCTTCTTGTCCAACATCAGTGCCTAGTCATACAAAATACTGAATGATCAAAAATTCCAAAGGCACTCAAACATTTTTGTAGAAAGCCTTCCCTGTTATTACTGCAAGGTGTGTGTATGAGGGGGGTGGGGTACAGGGTTACCTAGCAGACACGTGTCCAGCGCATGGGGATGCCTATTTAACTTCAGGATCCCTTCACAAATACTGTAATTTACACTTTGCATGCACATTAAGCATGGAACCTACAGACCACAATGGGAGGCCATCACTCAGAACATTCTGCCTAATCAGCAAGAAAAAAAACATGCTTGGAAACATTTATAGCATGAACAACACCAACACCAATTATAGAAGATGATTAAAGCTGAACTCCAGCTTTACTTGTTTTTAGTTCCAAGGTCTAGAAATGCCTCTTACTTGCAGAAAAATAATAGTCTGAACTGCATCTCTGCTGTCATCTCTGAAGACCCCACATAGCAGCACAGTGGCTAAATGGTTAGCACTTCCACTTGGCAGTACTAGGGTTATTGGTTCAAACCCTAATTATGGCACCACCTGCCTGGAGTTTGCATGTTCTCCCTGTGCCTGAGTGGGTTTCCTCCCACACTCCAAAGACATGCTGGTAGGTTAATTGGATCCTGTTTAAATTGGCCCTAGTATGTGTATGTATGAATGTAAGTTTGGGAACTTAGATTGTATGTTCCTTGAGGGTTAGGGACTGATGTGAAATATATATATATATATATATATATATATATATATATATATATATATGTGTATTCTCCTCACAATCCTCTGAGCTCTTGAGCCACCTCTTAAAGCTTCAATTCGTAGAAGATGAGGCCTACCAAGGCCAGCAAAACATCCACAATTCCTACCACCACTGTCTACTGTGCTCTGTGTAGGCAGGGTTCTACCAGGGCAAAGGCATGGTGATTTTTGGCTACTCCCACTGAACAAGAACTATATGTGCTGCATAAACCAGCAGCAGAGACCATACAGGATGTCACTGAAATGTTTAAAGAGGTATATTTTCTACATTATATATGTTAATATAAAAATTTATACTGAATGTACATAAGTGGACGAGAATGTGGGAACAAGAGAAAGCATTTAAAATACTAAACTTTAGGATTACTTGGCTCTGAAAGGTTCCAAGTAAATCTGTTCTTATTTTCATGTATATCTGACAATAAATAAAAACATAAGATGACCTATTTTATGGACTAATGTTATACCAAGCCATTTTTTTTTCCATATAAAAAAGATCATATCTTCTTGACAATAAATCACAGATTAACTGCTACACAGAAAGTCTTTAAATGGAAAATTTGCACAAAATTTTAACTACGATACAGTTGCCTATGCAGTAAATCCCCAAGTATGTAAGTGAAATTTAAGGAAAATATTTTTAATCAGCAAAGACAAAGGGAAAATTTGGCAAATATTTCAAACTTTTAAAAGTGTAACTGGTGCCTAAGAGAAGGTACGGCAAGGCCAGACTGACCACTGATGTGCTTTAGCGCTCCTGTTTTCACTGTGAAGCTATTCTCAGTTTCCCCATCTTTGGTTCTAAGGGACAGATTTATTAAAACTGATGCGCACAGAATCTGGTGCAGCTGTGTATAGTGACTAATCAGCTACTAGGTGTTTATTGTAAAAGCTTAATTGAACAAGCTGAAGTTAGAAGCTGATTGGTTACTATGCACAGGTGCACCAGTTTTAGTAAATTTGCCCTTAAGACTCACATCCTGGAGCTAAGCCAACCCAAGCAACATCCTCCTTCTAGCGAGAGTATTCTAAATGGCCACTAAAGGACAGCAAATGGGTTTAACTTATTCCCAAAATTAGCCCACTAAATGTTTTCATTATATGCATGTATAATAGTAGAAGTGTAGAATGCAACCTCTTCAAGCAAGTCCCTGTCAACTTCTGTTATTATCCAGAGAGTATAGTATTTATTACATCCCAAAAGCAGACAAGTCCCACAGAGTAAATACAAAATAATACAATAATTAAAAGTCATATGATTCCCCTCAGAATTCTTAGTTCTTCCTTTTCATAACTTTGTGAGTGATACAGACACCACACCCCAGCATATATGTATCTAATTTATGCACCTATGTATTTTCCATGCATGTATCTACTGAATATACTCTAACCCTAGGCCATTCCTCTCATGAATTCAGACAATTTAATCTCCCTTCATATATCCATTCTCCTCATTCACTAAGATGTAATGGAAGGTGACTGGTTGAAAAGCCAAATACAGTACTGAGCGTTAACAAATATGACTCTTTGCACACCACGTATTCTGTGGCTGCTACAGCAGGCAATCAGGCTACATTCTCGGAGCCTCTAGCTCCTTCTACAGGCCTCGAGGCAATTGTATTAAATACAACAATTGTATCACCATAAATACAGTAGGTTTTCCTTTGAAATACCAAAAACCATCTCCTTCAATTATTTGCCATTTAAGGCTATCGTATTATTTATGACCCCATTTACAAATTCCCTTCTTATATACTCCTGCAGTTTAGTGGATTTTAAAATGATTATATTATTTTTTATTCCCTACTTACCTACTCCTGTAGTTTTGTGGATTTTAAAATTATTATATTACATTTTATTACCATTTACATAAAATATTACTTTATAAAGGCACATTTATTACATGACACGTGTTAAGAGTGTTGGGTTTCACTGGGCTATTGGGGTTGTGCCCATGGCGGCTTGATCCACATGAGATGGGTTGAGTGATGCTGGGCATTGTTCAACACAGAAAAGGACCAGCAGCAAAAGAGAATGCAGAGGGCAGCAGGAGCGGCCTACTGTTGCTTTGCTAAACGATTGAACAATTATTAGCAAAACAACTAAAGCTGGAATTAAGCATTTTATTTATGTTTATTTTTGTCTGAACATAATAAATAAAGATGTATACCAAAACAATGGGGAAGATTTACTAAAACTGCATGGTGCAAAATCTGGTGCAGCTCTGCATAGAAACCAATCAGCCTCCAGGTTTTCTTTGTCAACGCTTAATTGAACAAGCTGAAGTTAGAAGCTGATTGACTACCACGTACAGTTGCAACAGATTCTGAGTGCTCCAATTTTAGTAAATCCCCTGAAATATATTTCTGCTAACCTCTATAAGACAGAGGCCAGTGTACGTAGGCAGGGCCAGTTTAAGACAAAATAGGGTTCCTAATGCAGGCCATAGATGGGTCGAAAATCGGCTGATTTTTTGGCCGAAAAGAAAATCGGCCGATTTTCGGATCGTTAGTGGGCTATTTGTTCGGCCGTTTTTCGGTATTTTGGCAGATTTTTTTTATCGGTAAAGTTGGAAAAAAATCGGCGATTTTGCAGATCGGCCGATTTTCGCGGCAATGATGGGCAAATCGGCCGATTTTTTACCGATAAAAAAATCTGCGCATGAGCAGTGACCTGCAAGAGGAAGACAAAAAGAAGAAGAGGAAGAAGAGGAAGAAGAAGATGATGAAGAAGAAGAGGATGATGAAGAAGAAGAAGAGGATGATGATGAAGAAGAAGAAGAAGAGGATGATGAATGAAGAAGAAGAAGAGGAGGAGGATGATGATGATGAAGAAAGAAGATGAAGAAGAAGAAGAAGAAGAAGAAGAAGAGGATGATGATGAAGAAGAAGAAGAAGATGATGATGATGAAGAAGAAGAGGATGATGATGATGAAGAAGAAGAGGATGATGATGAAGAAGAAGAGGATGATGATGATGAAGAAGAAGAAAAAGAAGAAGAAGAGGATGATGATGATGAAGAAGAAGAGGATGATGGATGATGAAGAAGAAGAAGAAGAAGAAGAGAAGATGATGATGATGAAGAAAAAAAAGAAGAAGAAGAAGAAGAAGAAGAGGATGGTGATGAAGAAGAGGATGAAGATGATGAAGAAGAGGATGATGATGATGATGATGATGATGATGATGAAGAAGAAGAGGATGATGATGAAGAAGAAGAAGAGGATGATGAAGAAGAAGAGGATGAAGAAGAAGAAGAAGAGGATGACGATGATGATGAAGAAGAAGAGGATGATGATGATGAAGAAGAAGAAGATGATGATGAAGAAGAGGATGATGATGATGAAGAAGAGGATGATGATGAAGAAGAAGAAGAGGATGATGATGAAGAAGATGAGGATGATGATGATGAAGAAGAAGAGGATGATGATGATGATGAAGAAGAAGAGGATGATGATGATGAAGAAGAAGAGGATGATGAAGAAGAAGAGGATGATGATGAAGAAGAAGAGGATGATGATGAAGAAGAAGAGGATGATGATGATGAAGATGATGATGATGATGATGAAGAAGAAGAGGATGATGATGATGAAGAAGAAGAGGATGATGATGAAGAAGAAGAAGAGGATGATGAAGAAGAAGAGATGATGATGATGATGAAGAAGAAGAGGATGATGATGATGAAGAAGTAGAAGAAGAAGAGGATGATGAAGAAGAAGAAGGATGATGATGATGAAGAAGAAGAAGATGATGATGAAGAAGAAGAAGAGAATGATGATGAAGAAGAAGAAGAAGAGGATGATGATGAAGAAGAAGAAGAGGATGATGAAGAAGAAGGAGAAGAAGAAGAGGATGATGATGAAGAAGAAGAAGGATGAAAAATAAGAGGAATTCCAGTCCGGCAAAAAGTGTCCCTGCAGAGAGCTCCGCTATTTCTTTGACAGTTCCTTGACATTTACAGCGGTTGCAACAATGTATCTATTTGTTTCCGAATAAAAACATCTGTATCCTAAATGGATACAAATAGATACATTGTTGCAACCGCTATAAATGTCAAGGAACTGTCAAAGAAATAGCAGAGCTCTCTGCAGGGACACTTTTTGCCGGCTGTAGACGGGATGAAAATCGGCCGATTTTTTTTACCATTGCTGGTAACGTTTTTAAAAGAAAAATCGGCCGTTTTTCTTCCCGTCTATGGCCTGCATAAGGCCAGCTCTGAAAGGAAAACATACAGAGAGGCACACCTGCAGCATATTTGTGTATCGAACAGAGAGAGAAGCTGTGATGTGCAGAGTGATCTATGGTAAAGCCTGTCCATATCACACTGGATGGTGGATGTGGCTTAACCACTTGCCTACCGGGCACTTCTACCCCCTTTTGCCCAGGCCAATTTTAAGCTTTCGCACTTTGAATGACAATTGCGTGGCCATGAAACACTGTACCCATATGAAATTTGTATCATTTTTTTCCACACAAAAAATAACTTTCTTTTGATGGTATTTAATCGCCGCTGGGTGTTTTATTTTTCCTGCTATAAACAAAAAAAGCAAAAAATGTAAACAAAAAAGTTTTTCTTTGTTTCTATTATAAAATTTTGCAAACAGGTAATTTTTCTCCTTCACTGATGTGCATTGATGAGGATTCACTGATAGGCAGCACTGATGGGCACTGATAGACGGCACTGATGAGGTGGCACGGATAGGCAGCACTGATAGGCGACACTGATGTGCTGGCACTGATGATGCTGCACTGATATGCAGCAATGATGGGCACTGATGGGTGGCACTGACTGGCAAACCTGCTGGGCACTTACTGGCGGCACCGCTGGTGGCACTGCTGGGCACAGGTGGGTGGCACTGCTTGGCACAGGTGGGTGGCACTGCTGGCCACTGATCATCAGAGCCGATCTGTTTTCTGATAATTGCCAGTTATCGGCAGTACGATCTGTTTTCAGACAAATGCTGGTTATCGGCAGTACTTTCCTCACGCTGTGACAGCTGATCACACGGTAAAAGGCCGCTGTGATTGGCCTTTTACCACATCACATGATCAGCTGTGTCCGAAGGACACAGCGATCACGGAGATAGCCGGTTGCGCGGAGCTGGGGGCACACGGGAGGGCGTGTTCTGTGGGAGGACGTCATATGACATCCTCCCAGAACTGGGCAACCGCGCTGTAGCTGTTATTCAGCTATAACCCAGGTAACAAGTGGTTAATAGGGCATTATTAAAGTCCACTCTGGGATAAAATCAACTCCCTTCCCACACCCCATAACTGACTGCTGGCATGAAAATGTCTAAATACCATTTTCACTTCCCAAAAGGTGTGACTGTCCACTTCACTGCCAGTTTGATGAGAACAATTACCTTTCAGTGCCCAGTGGTGGGGTTCTCTCAAGATCCATCTGCTGATAGTACAGAGCTCTAGGAGTCACTCTACACATGCTCAGTTTAGTGTGTATGGCTAGAGTTTTTTTTTTGGGGAGGGTGCATGTGATTAGCACAGGGCCAATCGGCACTGTCCAGACAGAGGGTCAGGGATTATGCAGCCTCATAGGACAGTCAGAGCAGAATGAAAACCTATCCTACAAGCTTTAACCAGTGCTCGGCCAGACACTGATAGAAGTCACACAACTGCTATATACTACTGATGAGAAAAGGTATTTAGCAGTTTATATTTACAAAAAGAATTGCATTTCCAAGTTCTGTGTACTGTAGGAGACCAGATATAGTGAATGCAGGGTCCTGGATTTAGTAACACTTTAACCTAGTGCCCCTTACATTGTGGATAAGTGAAAGAAAAAAAAAGCCCCAGTACTGGGGCTAAGTGGGAGGAAAAATATGCCCCAAATTCTATGGGGGGGAATTCACCTGTGGTAAGTGGGAGGGAAGAAAAATGACTGGTGTTAATGGTCAGTTTAAGTAGAATTAAAATGCTTTGGGGTTAGTGGGGGACTATAGCAGGAGTGGTCAGTGACAGGAAAAAAAAAGACTTTGTTGCAACCAGTTTGTGGGACCGCTTTCTTTTCAATATTATATAATATAATCCTGGTTTGTAGTAGTTGTCAGATGGAAACTCTCCTTTTCTTTGAACTCATAATAATAGCCTCTAGAACAGTGGTTCTTAACCTGGGTTCGATCGAACCCCAGTGGTTCGGTGAGTCAGTCTCGCGGGTTCGGCGGAGGTGAAGACCCACACCCGACTCATATGATTCGTGATGACATGCCCCGCTTGTCCATCATTGGCTGCAGGTGGTCACGCAACATCGCTTAGCCCAGTGGTCAGCAAGCCGCGGCTCGCGAGCCACATGCGGCTCTTTACACGCTTTAATGCGGCTCTTGTGTGCCGGGCGCCCGCTCCCCTCCCTCCTCTCGGGCGGCAGGGACTCTGCAGCGTGATCCAAAAAAAAAAAACAGCCAGAGCAGCGCGCTCAAATGCAATGATTGGCCAGTCTCGCTGCCACTCACATCCTGATAGCCAGTGATTGGCTGTCAGGATGTGTGTAGGCGGGGCAGCGTGACGAACATGAGAGGAGCTAGGCTCCTCTCACAGTCCGCCCTGAAGACCGGAACGGCGCGGGAATACGGCGAGAGGAACGCGCGGAGCAAAGGTAGGTGAATTGACACAGGGGGGACTTGGCTTACTACTTGCTACTTACTTACTACTACTATATAAGGGATGAATTAATATGGGGGATGAATTACTATAGGGGGGGGATGAATTACTATATGGGGGATGAATTACTATATGGGGGATGAATTACTATGGGGGATGAATTACTATGGGGGATGAATTACTATATGGGGGATGAATTACTATATGGGGGATGTATAACTATGGGGGATGAATTACTATATGGGGGATGAATTACTATATGGGGGATGAATTACTATGGGGGATGAATTACTATATGGGGGATGAATTACTATATGGGGGATGTATTACTATGGGGGATGAATTACTATATGGGGGATGAATTACTATGGGGGATGAATTACTATAGGGGGGATGAATTACTATGGGGGATGAATTACTATGGGGGATGAATTACTATATGGGGGATGAATTACTATAGGGGGGATGAATTACTATGGGGGGATGAATTACTATATGGGGGATGAATTACTATGGGGATGATGAATTACTATAAAACAGTGGTTCTTAACCTGGGTTCGATCGAACCCCAGGGGTTCAGTGAGTCAGTCTCGCGGGTGCGGCTGAGGTGAAGACCCACACCCGACTCATATGATTTGTGCAGTAAATATTCATTATTATGTTTTTGTTTTTGTGTGAAAATCATGTTTTAATGGTTTTGTTCTTTGTTCTTAACGGTTTTGTTCATTTTGTGCACCTATGTATAAATATATACCTATGTTTTGAATTTTAAAAATCATATTTTATTTTTCCAATTAAGAAGGGTTCGGTGAATGCGCATATGAAACTGGTGGGGTTCAGTACCTCCAACAAGGTTAAGAACCACTGCTCTAGAACCTCTCAGTCCGTCCTCATCACCTTGAAACCCCCACCTCCTTCCCTGCTATATACTGTATGTTTTGTCTTATTATGTTTAATTGCTGGAAAATGTACGCCTTCTGTTACTTTCTTTTTTGTTTGGCATGAATGTGTTGTTACATTGTATTGTAAAGGCAGATCAAAATAGAATAAAAAATAAATAAAAAAAATTGGATTGAATGTGCAGCTTTGTCATTCCTCCAGGAACCATTTGATCAAGGCTTGCCTATAAGAGTTAAAAAGAGAAGTAGTAATTTCCTTTACCTGTGAACTGTCTCAGAAGGGAGGTCATTGTGAACAGGACTTCTTCATCTGATAAGCTCTCCATATATTCAGACTCCTCACCAGCTATGAAACCACAAAGAATATGTCCCAGCCTGGTGACAAAAAGCACAAACCAAGTCACACAAATCCATTCTGCCTCAATAAAAAAATGTTCTGTTTGTGTGGTTTTTTTTTTTTAGTTGGTTGAACTAGATAGACTAGTGTCTTTTTTCAACCCGACTAACTTTGTAACTATGTATTTATATCTTAATGTATAAAATGTAATTTTATTTCATTAAATAGGATTTATGGCCACCAAGAGCTGCATCTCACTTACTGTGCTGGTGGTTCCAGGACCACAAATCCAGACAATTTCTTCATCCAGTTTTTCTTTAAGTCTTTCTTGGGTTCTGTAAGAGGAGAACCACCTTCCCAAACCAGCTGAATATATGATGAGTTTGGCTCCCAAAAGGGTTTCTCAAATTCCAGCAAGATCTTATTCATGGTTCCGAATCCCAAATTCTTTATTGCCTGTTTCTTGCTTAGAGGCAAAGGGGGGCTAAGGAAATTATCTGCATGCTTTTTTAGGAATCCTGAAATAAGAAACCATGAGATGGTTTTTGGTTCAATCTTCCATGACAGTCAATCATCCCATGGACTCTTCAAAAGATTCTTACATTTTTCTTTCTTTTTTCTCTCTACTCATAATAAAAGTACATTTAAACCAAACTGGAAGCATAGAATTACTATGGGAACAGGAACACATAGCGGGGGATTTACTAAAACTGGTGCACTCAGAGTTTGGTGCAGCTGTGCATATTAACCAATCAGCTTTTTTGTAGGTAAAAAAAATGCACACTTACAATTGTTTTGTAGGAGCCTGGAAAGCATTGCACTGATCATGGGTGCCATGCAGGATTCCTATAGATTGTCAGTGTAAGCTGTCTGGCTTTACAGCCCATTCATTCACATTGGCTGCCTTGCGCACCAAAACAGGCAGTTACACACTGACAGGAAGAACCAATGAACCACCAGAGTGCTCAACAGCGCCAAGGTAGAAATCCAAGTAGTCAGGCACAAAGGCTTTTTTTGTACTTGTAGTTTCCTATTTACAGAACTCTTTGAATGAATGAATGATGAGGCTAGGCAGGTGGAGCCCTGTACGACTGTGTTTCTTTTAATTGTGATGGAGTGGAGGGAGGAGAAGATCCCCTGCTTGCTGTCACAACAGGGTTTCGGGGACTAGTGTTGCAGTAACATGTTACACCCTGAATATAGATGTAACTTGTTACGAAAGGCAAATTTATCCTTTAGTGCCCGTTCACATATATGCGGATTGGATGCGGTTTGAACCGCATCCAATCCGCAAACACATCTAAAACAACATTGGTGCTTGTTCACATATGTCAGGTGCACCGGCGGTGCGGATTTAGTGAGGTTTTAAAAAGAGTCCTGTCTGATTTCTGAGTCAGGTGCAGATTACAGGCTACTGACTTCTATTGGAACCGTTTCTAAACCTCTTATGTGTGAACAGGATAACATCCAGAGCTAATCCTGACCTGAATCTGTGAACAACTACTGTATCACTTAGCTGTGAAACCTGAGCTTCAATCTGAACCGCACATGTATGAATTGGCACTAACACTCTCTAACAGCCTATCTTATCAGGGTATTTCCTTCATATCTAGTCATCTCCTGGTTACCAGTACTCTGATGATCTAGGAAGCACAACCGTGCATCCATGTGAACAGGCCAAGTGTTTTCCAGCTTGCTCCGTGTAGGCTGCTTGCCATTACAGGGAAAGCAGAAATTACACAACATTTAATCACATATCAAGAAGATCAGTACTTCCCAACAGCACCTGTACAGATCTAACACAAAAAAGCGCCAAACAGAACAGACAGAACTCTGGTAATCTGAGTGGGCTTTCTGACTTTAGAATAGCTGTAATGATTCATTAGATCAGGGGTGTCAAACTCCATTTCATTGTGGGCCATATCAGCATTATGGTTGCCCTCAAAGGGCCAGTTGTATCTGTAAGACTAGATGTCCAGAGCACCCCAACCCCCCATTACATCAGAAATCAAGTATCCCACACCCTCCTAACATCACCGTGTACCCCCATTGGGGGCAGAGCTGGAAAGCAGAAAGTGCAGGGTCTGGAGGAGGACCAGAGGAGGAGTGGAGTCAGTTACCAGAGTCTACTGATTGCTGAGACCAGGAGAGGCAGAGATGAGGGGGTGCTGCAGCTGCACTGAGAGGTGCAGAATTTGGCAGAGGAGTTCTATTGTCCGCTCTGCTGCCAGTTGCTGAGACAAGGTGGGGGCAGAGACAAGGGGGTGCCTGAAGGAGAGGTGCAAGGGCCACATTAAATGGTCTAGGGGGCCGGATTTGGCCCGCGGGCCTTGTGTTTCACACCTGTGCATTAGATGATCTCCGATTTCACTTGCTGTCTGTGTTGTTCAATACAAAAAAAAACATTATTTGCCTTGAACTGGCAGCTGAGTAATGCAAGGAGGAACTAAAGAGCTCAGCTTAGTTGAATCCTTTTATTTGGTCACTCATACATCATGTATGTAAATGTTTTATCTGATAATAATGAAAATATATCAGTCACAAACTCAGTAACTACTTAGGCCCCTTTCAAATGGGCATCATCTGTTCACTTATGTTAACTTAAAAGAAAAAAACAATTCCATTTATATCAGTTTTTACATCAGTTTTTAGTTCAGTTTATGTCACTTTACTTCAGTTTTCATTTCTGTTTATTTAAGTTCAGTTTATATCAATCTGCATCTCTTTTTTGCATCTGTTTTTACTTAGCTGTTGCAGAGACCAATCAGAGGTGACTAAAGTATAACCAAAAAAATGTTCTTGCCTAAAAACAGACATAAATGGAACAGAAGTAAATGGATGGCATCCATTTACATCCATTCCATTCAACGGATCTTAAAAAATGGACTGGAATGGACAATTAAATTATGTAATATGATGTAAATTATGGTTGAACTGGATGGACTTTTGTCTTTTTTCAGCTGGACTAACTATGTAATTATGTAAATGTATGGTAAACGGATGATCATCCATTCACATCTTGTGGTCCATAGAAATACACTGCTGTCTGGATAGATGAAAAACGGACAAATGGTTCGTCTGTTTGTCTAATATGTTCCCCAACACCACATGAAACATAGTGGGAGATTTACTAAAACTGGTGCACACACAATCTGGTGTAATTGTGCAAAGTAACCAATTGGCTTCTAACTTCAGCTTGCTCAATTAAGCTTTGACAATAAAACCTGGAAGCTGATTGGATTCTGTGCAGAGCTGCACCAGATTCTCTGTGTACCAGTTTTAGTAAATCTCCCCCACATTTTTTGTCTGGCAGCTCAGGCCAACAAACCTGTCAAAGTCCTGGTTCACTATAATGCAATATTTTGCATATAATTGCTATCAATTTAATCGTCACAAGCTTTGCAAAGTCCAACCAGAACCTCTAATAATGCCAATAAGCCCTATTCATACCTTTGTGTTTTAAAGCTGAACTCTAACCTTTCTTTTAGTCTTGGCCAATAGTACAGGCAGTACTGGCAAAGCTCCTTCCAGTTCTCAGGGCAAAGATACAGAACTGCACCTCTCCTGCACTACTAATGCATGTTGTAGAATGGGTGAATCGTCCTACGTTTATTCTCTGCGCCCCTTTCTCTGCTGCGCCAAGGGCAGCTTCTCTTCCTGCTAACCCCTTGTCCTGACCCAGTGTAAAGGTTCTCCTTGTGTACTGAATTAGCTTTAATTTCACTGCACACTGTGAGATTCTCAAAGTGTGCATTAGGAGCTGCAGCACGTCAGAGAGCCTGCCTCATTTCCTGGCTGGGGGACATCCTGCGTCATCTCGCTCTTTCCTTCCCAGCCTTGGAGGAGTAAAATGTATTTAGTGACAGAGCAGTGCTAGGTTTTTAAATGTCTTGAAGAATAAAAAAAAAAACCAAAATCCAAGGATGACATATGTGAATAGGACCTATGGAGGCTGTGCATTAGATTCTATATGTATTTATATTTGAGATACATGTAAGTGCAACTAATTGCTAATTTTTATGGTGTTTGGCAGGCTGCATTATCCTCATTACATTTACCAGAGTCATTACTGCTAACAGGAAAATATTGCAAATTAAACAGGTGTCCTAGGAAGGAGTCACATGGAAAATAGAATCCCTCGCTGTGAGAACACCATGAAATCTCTGAATGTAGCAGGGAAAGACAGATTCCCTTTCCTTATGTTTTTGTTAGTGGCTTATTTACTTTGCAGTTGAGAGGTTGTAAGTACAAGTTGCTGAACCTCGATTTAACATGCCCAAACCACTGCACTGCCAGTACCTATGGATGTACACATTCCACAGCCGTGATACTTTGTTTTGAAACTGTAGAAGGTATTAAATCCCTTACTGAGGTTGGCTGGTACTACTGCCTGCTGAGTACAGCTCATTTCAAGTGAATAGGGCCATGCTGAAACCGCCCCTCAATCACGTACAATGCATAGGTTCACGGTGCGGTGAAGAAGCATTTAAGAGGTTAAAATGGCTGGTGAGGAGAGGTAATCACTTTTTAAAGGTACGGCAGTCTTTTTCCACATGTGTAAATGAGCCCTTATGGAAAGTACTTTCTCTTTTAAGAGTAGATTGAGTACACATTTATGGTGCCATCATAAAATATTGTGCAGCAAGAACGTGGAGCCCGGGGTGGAATTAATATTTACAGTAAGAGCGGGGTACAATATTACCTTTTCAGAAACAAGTGTATTTGTGGAAAAGAGTGAAGTTTACCCATTCTGACAACTGCTTTTGCAAAGGATAACCATGAATTTTTGGAGTGATTGTGAGGACCAGCCTGAGGCGTGGGGTAGAATTGTTTTATTGTATGATATTATAAGGCTTAGCCATTTCCCCCACACTGCCTGTTCAGTCCTTTATTTCATACTAATGATTTGATTCACACTTTAGAAAACTCTGCTCTGAACTGAAATAATCAAACAGGTAAAGCTATGAGCAGGAACAATAGTACATTCCCAAAAACAGCTCAGTGAGTCCAAGATAAAAGCATTGGCTGGAGGTGAAATGTAGAACACATCAACTTCATCAGAAACAAGCAGGCCTAGGCTCCCTCCCAACATGTCTCCTGACAACTTATAGGGGTCTATGGGTCCGAAGAATAGCCAAATACTTGCTGGCTTCCCAGTTGGGGCAGTTAAATATCACACCATTCTAACCATTTAGTTAAATATAACACCATTCTGAGTCCGTTGATATTGACCAGATTAGAATTACCACTTAATCTGGCTTTCCTTAGGGGCCAGTCCAAGTATATCAAACCCCGTTACAGCTCACCATGTGAATCACTGAAACAACACCATATACTCTAGTAAAGTTATCTCACCCACCTACTTCTACAATCTTTTTTTAATCCAGGTTTTTACTTCCCACTTAACATTCACTGTTCGGTCAAATTATATGCAACTTCAGGCATCAAACCCTTTGTCACTCTTTGAATATGCCCTACCTCACTACAAGATATTTCAATATATTCAAGTAAAACACTTGATCCTACAAATGAATAAAATCAAATTCAATATCAGCCATACCTTTAACCCCTAAAGCTAATTGTCTAAACGTTTAGCACTTAGGAGACCTGATATCTCTCCTTTATGCCTTGCTCCTTAGCACACACTCTTCATCATTCCCCGCTTACACCACAATGTGGGCAAAAGAGTGGGCTCTTGGTAACTCTAGAGAAGAAGGGCTGTTATCAAATTTAAAAATCAGTAATCTAGTTTATGCCATGGAAACCAATTACAGATTGCTTTTGAGATGGTATCTTGTTTTGTCTAGCACTGCAAAATTTTTGCCATAGGCGGCTTCCAAATGTTTCTGAGGCTGCAATGCAAATGGCACCTTCCACCAGATCTGGAGTTCATGCCCCGCTGTGTGCAAGCCTTTGACTAGTGTGTACTAAATGATACACACCATCTTAAGCTGCCGTCTCTCAGAAGACACATGTGAAGTCCTTCTTAATAAGAAACCAGCAAGGAGAACCAACTCCTAATGCGAAAGTGTCTGGCTCCCACGGGTAGACAACTACCTCTCCGTCACTCTGTCCCCTACCCTAACCTTATTTTTCTATATCATTTCTACTCTCCACCTGCTTCATAAACCATCAGAGGTATACTCTTTATATGGGATGCACTACAACACTCTAATGCTACATTTTACTGTAGACTTCACTTTACTTTAGACTTCACTTTAGACAACTCCTTTCTCTCTTTTTATGACGCTGCAGGACTCCAATCCCCAAAATCAACCAAGAGGAACTTTTTATTATACCTAGATGTTTTATGTTTATACACTCCAATCTCTCTCTCTCTCTCTATCCAATCAGTCATATCCGACCCTTGGTGATTACATGGACTGTCACTCGTAAGCGACTTGAATTCTCTTAGCAATTATTTTACAGGGTAGGTTGCCAGGTCTTTCCCCAACCCCTACCATGCAGTAAATCCTGCGTGGCCAGGGATGAAACTAGGACAATTTAGACAGGAGCCAATTAACCTACCAGCATGTCTTTGGAGTGTGGGAGGAAACCGGAGTACCCCTAGGAAACCCACGCAAGCACAGGGAGAACATGCAAACTCCATGCAGGATGCACCATGAGAATTGATCCCATGATCCACTTACTGCACTGCAGACGTGCTAACCACTAACTCACTGTGCTGCCCATACACTCCAATAGGGGGTCTCATATTTGTATTAATCCTATACTCTGTAACACAAATATGAAGTAATGGGTTTTGCTTCTCTCTTGTATTGTTATTACCTTCAAAAACATAATGCATATCTAAACACAAAAAACAAACATTTTAAATGCTGCAGCCTAACAGTCCTTAGATTATATGTCTTCATTAAGTTTTTTTCGGGCATTGTTCCTTGGTTTTTAACTGGTGATCATGCAAATAATAATTCCTGGTAACTGGTAGGCTGCAATATATTACATTTTTTTGTTTTTGGGTTTAGCTATATTTTAATTAAAATGTATTATTATTATTATTATACAGTATTTATAAAGCACCAATGGTTCGCTCAGTGCTGTACATTACAAAGGGGGACAAAATATGCGACAGAACAATAACAATACAATACACGAGGGGTTCGAGGGGCCTGCTCTTTCAAGCTTACAATCTAGGAGGGAGGGGATGGTGGCACAGGAGGAAATAGCTGTGGGGGATGGAGTGGTAGGAAGAGTGGAGGAGGTCGGTAAGTTAGCAGGGGGTGGGGTAGGCTTCCCTGAAGAGATGGGTTTTCAGGGTGCGCCTAAAGGAGAGGAGAGTAGGTGATAATCTGATGGGTTGGGGCAGGGAGTTCCAGAGGATGGGTGACACCCTGGAGAAGTCCTGGAGGCGGGCATGGGAGGAGGAGACCAGGGAACTAGAGAGAAGGAGGTCTTGTGAGGAGCGGAGTGCGCGTGCTGGGCGGTACTTGGATATTAGGTCAGTGATGTATTTCGGGGCAGTATGGTGGACAGCTTTGTACGTCAGTGTTAGGATTTTGAATTTGATCCCTTGCGCAATCAGAAGCCAGTGGAGGGATTGGCAGAGGGGGGTGGCGGAAATGGAGCGGTTGGAAAGGTGAATGAGTCTGGCAGCCGTATTCAGGATCGACTGAAGCGGGGATAGCCAGTGGCAAGGCAGGCCAGTGAGGAGGGAGTTGCAGTAGTCAAGTCGTGATATGATGAGGGAGTGGATGAGCTGTTTAGTGGTTTCTGGGGTTAGGAACGTGCGTATTTTGGCGATGTTGCGGAGGTGGAGTCTGCATGAGTTTGTTAAAGATTGGACTTGGGGCTGGAAGGATAGGTTGGAGTCCAGTACTCTGGCCTGCGGGGCGGGTTTGATGGTGGCATTGTTGGATGTGATGGAGAAGTCAATGGGGGGTGGTGCCGGGCTGGGGGGAAGACAAGAAACTCGGTTTTGGAGAGGTTCAGTTTAAGGAAGTGGAGCGACATCCACTCTGATATGTCGCTCAGTAGGTGTGTGATTCGAGCGGAGACCGAGGGGGAGAGGTGGGGGTTGAAAGATAGATTTGTGTGTCGTCGGCATAGAGGTGGTAGTTGAAGCCGTGAGAGTGTATGAGTTGGCCAAGGGAGGAGGTGTAGATGGACAAGAGAAGGGGCCCGAGGACAGAGCCTTGAGGGACCCCAACAGAGAGGGGGAGTGAGGGGGAGGTGGTAGCATTATAGGTAATGCTGAAAGAGCGTTGTGACAGGTAGGATGAGAGCGAGAGAGCAGAATCTCTGAGGCCGAGGGAGTGTAGTTTTTTTGAGGAGGAGGGGGTGGTCGACTGTGTCGAAGGCTGCAGAGAGGTCAAGGAGTAGGAGCACTGAATAGCGGCCATTAGCTTTGGCGGTTAGCAGGTCGTTGGAGAGTTTGAGTAAGGCAGTTTCGGTGGAGTGTAGGGGACAGAAGCCGGACTGTAGGGGATCGAGGAGGTTGTTGTCGTTGAGGTGAGAGCTTAGGCAGGTGTAGACTAGGCGCTCGAGGAGTTTAGATGTAAATGGGAGCAGGGAGATGGGTCTGAGGTTGTTCGGGTCATTGGGGTCCAGGGAGGGCTTTTTAAGTATGGGGGTGATGTGTGCATGTTTCAGAGGGGAGGGGAAAGTGCTGGAGGAGAGGGAGAGATTAAAGATGTGGGTGAGGGAGCGTAGGATGGAGGGGGAGGGAGGTTGTAGGAGTTGTGAGGAGATAGGGTCAAGGGGGCAGGTGGTGAGGCGGGCATCAGAGAGGATCTTGGAGACTTCCTCGATGGTAGTAATGTCAAAGGTGCGGAGTGTTGGGGGGGCTTCAGTATGAGGAATGTAGGGTGGAGTTGAAGTGGGGGTCAGAGCAGTGGTGGGGCCGTGGGAAAGGGGTGATGAGGGGGTAGCTGAGTGAGGGGGAACGGGGTTGGGGGGAGTTTGAGCAGCGACGAAGTCCCTGCGGGTTATGTTGAGGGAGAGGGGGGATGAGGGGGTAGCTGGGTGAGAGGGGACGGGTTGAGAGGGCATGTGAGTTGCATTTATTGAACAGAAATATTTAACACATGTTTATAGTCTTTTTGTAAGGTGCCAAATGTGTGAGATACATTTCAGCATAGTCATATTAATCTGTACCAGCATTTTGACACACTGTAATGTAACAAATGTTACCTAATGGGACAGTGACAATTACATGATCCGCCACAAATGTCTCTCCATCCTCGCACTGCACTTGCACGGGATATGCACGAGAGTCACGGCCCTGGAAGGAACCATCCCAGTAGATTTTCTCAACAGCTTTGTTCAGTATCACAGTGTCATTTGGTAGATTTGCTTTAATCCGATTCACAAGACTTTCAAATCCTCTGTAATTACAAAAAAATCCCTATATGAAAATATGCCAAATTATATATAATTAAATCGGTCATACAGTTTTCCTAACTGATATGCTACTGGTAAATACTAGTCAAGAATATTTGTAAAAAAAAAAATAATAATAATAAAATGAATGAGCTAATACATATACAGCATGTTAAATTATATGTCTACTAGTACCAAGTACTTGGTAACCCAGCTGCTTCCCCTTTACTGTACCTGTATTACCAAAATTAGTAAACAGCTACTTGGGTTTTAGGCTGTATGCATATTGCCTTTAAAAACCGCCAGTGCTCTTGGCAGAAAAAAACACTAATTTTGAGCATTTTTTGTACCAGCGATAAGCAATGTTTAGGAGCATTTAGCAGCATTTAGGAGCATTTTTTTTTTCTGCCAAAAAAAAAAAAAACACAAAACAGAAGGGGTTTTTTCTGCCTCTAAACGTGTGAGCTTAAAAAAAGCCTCTATACTACCTAATGTGCATGGGCACATAGGATACCATTAGTTGCTTCTACATACAAAACGCTAAACTCCAGTAGGAGCAGCGCGTTTTTTAAGTCAGTGTGCATGGAGCCTTAATATAAGGAGCTTCCAGATACTTGCATGCAGTATTATCATTAGTACATGGGTGCCATTTTTCTGAGATGAGAAAGAGGGACAGTTTTTGGCACAAAGGACACACCTCCTGCCATGCGCCCAGTTAAAGAGGAGTGATCAAGGTATAACTTGCAGTGCCGCTCTAAGCTGAGATAAAGGTCTCCCCACCATTTGCAGGCACCTATACACTATTTAGAGGTGTAGAAGCATCATCAAAGAAAGGAAGGTGCTCCACTCACCGACCAAGTATATGACTATGCAGATGAATATGGCTTGGCCTCAGTCAGTGCCCTAGGGGAGTGAGGCTGAAGCGGCACTGGCTCAAGCCACATTCATCCACATATTTATGTACTGGGTCGGTCGGTGAGCAGTGCTCCTTCCTTCCTCAGTTAAAAAGGTGGGTCACTCCAGAAAAAAAAAAAGAAAAGTCAGCAGCTACAAATCCTGTTCTGACTTTTAATAAATAGACACTTATCCAGTGGAATCTTCACCTGGGCTAGATTTTTACTAGCTTTCGGGTTTTCGGCGCTGGCATCCTGTGAGCAGCTGGTTATGTTGCTTTTGGCTTCACAGCTGGCTGCCCACTGCGCTTTGTGAATGGTCATGTCCCAGAAGACTGCGGGGTAGGAGGGGGGAGAGGAGAACTTTCACTTAGATCACTTAGGTGATCCAAGCGGAAACCTGTCAAAACTAGGTATCTGCTTCCCCCCAAAAAAAATTACATGCCAAATGTGGCAGGGGAGGAGGACTTAAAGTATACCTTCCCCTTGTGGGTGGAGTTCTGCTTTAATTGAACCATGAAGAATCAATGAACAAAAATTGGTTAAATCCACAAATGCTTTTGCTTTCACCAATTCTTTATCTGGTTATTGGCTTTTAAAATAACAGAATCAACAATTTTAAGGTTGAATGAAAAGTTTAGTGCAGTATAAAACTTTTGATAGTTAAATAGCACATTATTTAAAAAGGTCTATACATCACACCAAAAAGAGGGACAGTGGAAGAGAAATGTGAGACAGAGAGATTTGGTTTCAAACGAGAGACAGTCCCTCCAAATAGGGACAGTCACAAGCAATGCAGCAGGAGTCTTACATGATCTGTTAAGTGCCAACCTCAGCTAGAAAACCGCCACTTTGGACCCATCCCTTCCGCTCACCATGCCTTATTAATGGCCCACTGTGAGGTGTAGCTTCACTGACCAACAGTGATCACCATTTGGGGCTTTCAGGATTCAAGGATACATGCATTTATCTGGCAGTTCACAAACTTGACAAGCTCTACAGGCTTGCTTTATTGTATAACTAAAGGCAAAACTTTCCACTCTCTCTAACTTGCTTGATTACCATTTTCAACAGGACTGAAAATAAAGGCAAACCCAACGAGTTGACATTAGAAGAGAAACAGAGGGAAAGTCTTCCAATAGGGATGCTTGAGAACTGTCTAAAGCTGGTCCCAGCTTTAGACAAAAAAAAAAAAAAGAAAAAAGAAAAGAAAATTCTTCCATCTACACAAAAAAAAAAAGGATAGAAGAATCCCCCCACTGGGACATTGTATTCTGACGGTAGGACTTTCCACTGTCAGAATACAATGAGCAGTGACTGCCGCTGATCGTCAAAAGTTTTCCAGCTTGTCTGCTCAACAGAGGTCGATCTAATGATTGACTTCTGTCCAACAGAGATGGCCACACACAGATCAAAATTTGTCTGATCCCTGCTGAATCGGAAACATTTTGATCTGCTTGTGGTCAGCTTAAGAGGGGATATCCCTCATATTAGAAAGGTATCCTACTTTGAGTTGAGTCTATAGCACAGGTAATGAAGGGAATTGAGACACATATTGCAAAAGGAAACTAACATAAGTTTTAGCACTATCCCCTCTGTCCAAAATAAAAAAAAGAATGTTTGACTCTAGAGATATACTTTAATTCCCTCTGTCTATATTTTGAGTATCTTCATGACCAGAAGTCACAATGAGGTTTTTTACTAAAACTGGAGAGTGCAAAATCTGATGCAACTCTGCAGAGAAACCAATCAGCTTCTAGTTATTTTTGTGAAAGCTTAATTGAACAAGCTGAAGTTAGAAGCTAATTGGTTACCATGCAGAGTTGCGCCAAATTTTGAACTCCCCAATTTAATAAATCAACTCCTGTAGCTTAGATTCCCAGATCAAATTAATCAGTGCCAAAATGCACCAGTTAACCTGATGATGATATGTCTAATTTCCCTACATAATTTTTTTTCTTCATTTTTTAAGGGCATTGACCAAATATGGGCACGTGTCTAAAGAAAGGATAAAGGGTGCCTACAACACACTGAATAATTCATGAACTCACAAGAACTGCTTTTGTTACACAGGATTTTTACTTTAATTGCCACACTGAGAGTGGATTCTTTTTCTCACTTAACCTAGGTTCACACCTAAGCATTTTCTGCAGGGTTTTGCGTTTAGCAGAAGCGCAGTCCAGTCCATTGAACATGATTTCCTATGGGACATGTTCACACCTGTGCGCTTTCACCTGCTGTGTTTTTTGGAAAGGGTCATGGAATTTTTTGAATGCAAAAAGTTGCGTTTTTGTTTCTATAGACTTCAATGGAAATGCTGCAGAAAAGCATGCATTGCGTTTTTGGTGCGTTTTAAATCTGCCTAGCAACAAGAAAAAAAACAAGCAAAACACATCAAAAATCGCAAAAAAAGTGCAAAAACACAATGCAGAAACAGCTCGAACGCAACCTGTATAGGTGTGAACCTAGCTTTAGGGCTGTTATTTATAATTATTATATAATTATTCATCTAGTGAAACTGCATGTACCTGTGAGAATAGGGGCAAAAAATTGAATGTTTTTAGCCTATTTTCTCTACAGGTCAAATGTTATTTGTTCATAAAAATGGAGTGGTTCAGGAAAATACCACATTATGGCGCTGATATTTATAGTAAATAATTCTAATTTCCAAAGATCATCAGGTCTATCTAGTGACCATAATGCATTCCTGATTCACATTGTTCTGTAGGAATGATTAACATTTGACTGGGAAGAAAAATTACCTTGTAACATTCAATTTTGCCCCCATTCACACAGAATAAATACATGTAGTGCCAGAGGATGAACAGATCTGTGAATGTTCATGTTTACTTTTTGGAGATTTAACCACAGATTTGTTTTTACCTTTTGCACAAACTGTTAGTTGTTTTTTTTAAGTTACCGTAGTTCATATTTACTAATGAAAAGGTCTGCAATCTCTTCAAGCTCTTTACCATATGCAGATCAATTGTGGCTTCTAGCAACCTCCTACTGCAAATAATTTCTCTTTCTTCTACTCATCCAACCACAGGTTGCATACACTACAGTATAAAGGTCTCTCCCCTGCACTCCTTCCTTGGTTTTCAACCCTCAAAAATAAACAATTACAACTCTCATATTTCTAACCTAATAGTCTCCCTACTGGGCATATATTTTTAGCACACAGTACCAATACTGATACCTATTGCTTATGAAGAGTAGGTAGAGGGGTGGTGCGATACGTGAAAACATGCGATTTTGCGCATTACTGCTCTGCACTTGGTGTGAACAAGCCTTAAAATGTACTCTGTGAGTTCAGTTGTCAGTAGGTTGTAAAGCCCTCTTTCCTCCAAATCCCCCCTCTTAGCACAACCCCCCAAATCCCCCCTCCTAGCACAACCCCCCTAAATCTGCCCTCCTAGCACAACCCCCCCTAAATCCCCCCTCCTTGCACAACCTCCCCCTCCTAGCACAACCCCCCTAATTCCCCCCTCCTAGCACAGCCCCACCATCCCAAATCCCCACCTAACACTAGCCCCCCCCCCCCATAATCTTACCAGCAAAACAGAAAGCTGAGCTGGCCGCCCGACCGCATCCTACCAATGGAGGACTTGTCAGCAAGAGTACAAAAAGGAGCAGAGAGCGGGGGAGATGCGGGCTGTCTGCATCTCGGAAGGACATTATAGTGCTCTCTGCCTCACATAGGACAGGAGCTAACAGAGGATCAGAAGATCGAACTATTGCTGGCATTCTTTTTTTTTTACATTTCAGATGTCAGCAAGGGAATCCCGCTGACAGCTGAAATGTCATCGGTTGTTAAGGACAGGGCAGCCCCCTCCTTAACAACACATAATTGCCAGCATTCTATTTTTGACATTTAAGCTGTCAGTGGGGGAATTCGGCTGACGGCTGAAAGAACCGAACCTAAAGGTATTGGCTTTTAGTATCAGAGCATTTGCACGAGGACCGATACTCGTAGAAATGCTCAGTATCGGCACCGATACTGATATCGGTATCGGTGAAACCCCACCCAACAGTATTTTGATGATACTCATTTGGGAGCCAGATTCACGGGTTGTTTTTCCCAGGTATATGACACTGCAGAGAGAAATGGAGCGATCTACTATTACTTAGGGGCTTAAAGCAGAACTTCACCCAAAAGAAGGAGTTTTACCCCCCCCCCACCCCATACACTTTATTTTTTGTTTTTTTTTGGGGGGGGGGGCAAGCAGGAGCCTAGTTTTGGCAGGGACCCACTCCTACTTCTCTACTTCTTACCGGACTGCTGTGGCGATGCAATCGGAAGTTTGCACCTGTCCTTTGCGCCAGATTTCTGGGACATGTCACACACCTCTGAAGACTGTGTAAACATTTACAAAGTGCAGCTCAGCTTGCACATGCGCAGTGGCAAGGCTTCACATTCGGTTTCCCTTAGTAAACTTGACGACACCAGGGACCCCGAAGACTGGTGAGGATGGCTCTGGAAGCACCTCTTTAACCGCCCTTTACCTTCGAGTGTAGCTCAGGTAAAGTTTCAGCACCACAAGCGGTAACCCCGAGCTACACTCGGGAATACCCTGCAGCGCTGCTCCGGGATCTCTTCTTTACTTACCTTGTCCTGCATTCCAGCAATGTCCCTCCTGCAGTGTCCCCGGCAATGTCCTCCGGCCGATGCCGGCATCTGTCTTCTGGGTTCCGTTCCCTGTGACGGCAGGACGTACGGGGACGTAATGGCGGGAAATTTAAAAATGTGAAAAAGCGACATTCACTAAATACACTAAAATTACATAATAAAACATTACTGTATCAAAGCATTTCACATACATTTTGTCCCGAGTGCTTTGTCCTGTGCCCTGCCTGCATTTTTACCATTCTTTCTGCCTGGAAACTGAGAAATGTCCATGGCATCCAAAAAGCGTCCCTTTAGGTCAAAAGCGGTTTTAGACCAGCTAGAGAACAGCGATAGTAAATCAGAACCACTTGCAGAATTGAGTGATGATTCGTGGGGAAATTCGTCATCAGAAAATCAAAACAATATTGCGACTTTGCTCAGTGATGTGCGAACTTGGCGCTATATTTCAAATTTCAATGTTTTGGTTTGATTATATTATTGAATTAAATGTATTATTATTTTTTATGATTATTTATTAAATTATAATTTATGATTTTGTTTTTCAAATTTTAACATACCCGGGATCTTTACTAGACTCTTGTTCGGACAGATTTCAGTGAGTTATTCCTAAAAATTACAGGCCTACAATAAACAAAAAAATACATATTTCCATGCAAAAAAATGTACTGCTTTAAGCACAGAAATACTGACATAATCAGAACGCTAGGGAGGCTACGTCGTTTTGCATTTTTTTTTTTTTTACCATAAAATAGACATCTCTTGTTTGCTTAGAAAAGGATACCACTTTAAACTGATACTGCACCTTTTGGTGCACTTACGTGGGAAAGGTGCAATCCAGTCCTAGAAACATTGTATACTCTCCATAGGGACAAAGAGCCACATGGTCCATTGTGTGGGTTCCGCTGACACAGCACTCAATATTAAGAAATGACCTTAAAACTGCCAAATTAAGCTCACATGTGTCCTTATCCCATTCCTTCGAGCTACGCAAAATCTCTTGGCGTAAGAAACTTCCCACGCTGGCATCTGGACTGCAGGTATCTTTTGTGAAATTCCGAGCTTTTTCCAGCCACTCAAAATACAAACTGGTTAGATTCATCACTAATGGCATACTGATATTCTTTCCAGAGCTGGTGTAGATAACAGGGATGGCAGGAGGGTGACCTCCCACATCCATTTTCTGGTTCTCTTCAAGCAGAGCATCAGGACCTAAAAGATTATACTGGGCTGACAGCTGGAAAACTAGGTTCTCTGGAGACGGTCCATGAATCCATTGGGCACCAATCTCAACCAGGCCCTTTGCTTAAAGTAAAAAAGAAAAAAACTTTATTGCATTTTCTTAAAAAAAAGAACATGTATACAAACAAATTAATTTAAACTGTAGCACATGCAAATACACTCACTGGTCACTTTATTAGGTACACCTGTTCAATTGCTCGGTAAAACAAATTGCTAATCAGCCAATCTCATGGCAGCAACTCAATGCATTTAGGCATCTAGACATCGTGAAGAAGACTTGCTGAAGTTCAAACTGAGAGTCAGAATGGGGAAGAAAGGGGATTTAAGTGACTTTGAATGCGGCATGGTTGTTGATGGCAGACGGGCTGGTCTGAGTATTTCAAAAACTGCTGATCTACAGGAATTTTCACGCACAACCATCTCTAGGGTTTCCAGAGATTGGTCCGAAAAAGAGAAAATATCCAGTGAGCGGCAGTTGTGTGGACAAAAATGCCTTGCTGAGGTCAGAGGAGAAAGGACAGACTGGTTTGAGATAATAGAAAGGCAACAGTAATTCTTGCCAATATGGACCACAAACCTCTGAGGAATGTTTACCACGTTGAATTACAGTAGTTTTGAAGGAAAAAGGGAATCCAACCCGGTACTAGCAAGGTGTACCTAATAAAGTGGCCGGAGAGTGTACACGTTGGATTCCCAGGATGCCATGCTCCAAAACATTTTAAAGCAAGTTTGCCTGCACTTACTGCTAAACTGCTAAAGACAACAAAAAAAAGGAACATTAATAAATACATCTTTTCTTTTATTATTTTTTTACATCTGTAAGTGCTGCAGCATGGTAAAATACACAAAATACCTAATTATTATCCGTGCAGTGCTTCTGGTACAAACCAGGTCGATTCTGATTGGTAAGCACTGACCAATCAGAATCCATCTAGTTTGTCCCAGAAGAGCTGACAGAGAAGAGGGAGAAGAACAGGGATTTCAAATATCTAGACCACTGGAGTAGCTGTAGGGGTGCTTAAAGCTTGGCAGCCCTGCAGGTAAGTAAATTTTTTCTGTAAAGGTGAAGTAGCCCTTTAAACGATGATGCAGGTAATACTTAAAAACCGATCTGAGGGGCTGCCTTATTTCTTTTGCTTTCTTGGATTTGGTACATAGACACACTGTAGAGGAGGAGTTTTAGCTCCCTGGAGCAAGTCAGGGGCCCCTGGTGTCCATCTGCACCTACAGAGGATGGGACTGCTTCCAGGTAAGTCTGCTCTTACATAAACCTCTGATTTTTACCCAAAATGTTGATACTGTGATTCTGTTGGGACATTTTGTTATGTTCTGTGTATAGTCCTACCCACACGCACCTCTTTTTATAGAATTCTTATAGACTGATCAGAGCGGCTGGTATTTTTTGCTTTTTTTACAGTTATAAAGCAGGCACTTCAGAAAGATTTCAGAGTTCAGCCATGATTTAGGAAGCCAAAATGACCTGCAGTAGATTGCTTTTTAAAGGGTGTTTGAGGCAGTGAGGCTTTATGTTAGCCCTAAAAACCCATACCACAAACTTGTGCATTGCACTCAGTAGCAGGTCGGTTGTAGGACAGCCCCATTGACTTGAAGGAGTGCACTCACTCATTACTGACTGCCAAATGTAAGAGGGAAGATCATTTATTTTTTTTTCAATGTGGCTCCATCATGTGTATGTCCCTGTACGGCTGCCTTTGCAGCTTCGGAGGAGGGCTATAAAAACACAGCTCAATCACGAGTGTTTGGGGAGCTTGGTATGGATGGCTTCAGTGGCATCAGCTTCCCCAAACTCAGTGAGAGAATTATGTTTTTCCTCCTGCTTTGTGATGTCAGAAACGGGAAGCGACAGGGACTTCTGTTACTTCTGGTTTCTTTGTTTACAACCATTGCCGGCTTGTTTGTAGAAAAAAACCAATCACAATTTGATCTGCTGCTTTGGAGGCCAGAGCAGAGATCTGGGGTCTCATAGATCCCAGATCTCTCCATAAAGAGGACTTGTCATGGTATCACAAGGGTTGTTGTTCATTCTTTGTAACAGCAATAAAAGTGCTACAAACGGAAAGGTAGAGTCTAAAAGAAAAGAAAAAAAGAAAAACAGGAGATTTCTTTTTAAAGCACCCCAGCCCCCACCCCCGCACGCAAAGGCGAATGCATGTGTCGGTCCCACACACATACATAAACAGGGATTTGAGGTATCACCGCGAACGACAGAGCAATAATTCTAGCAACGGGCTTTCTGTGTAAAACTAAAGTGGCAAACTGTAAGGCTTTTAAAGCATTGCCTATGGATAATTTAATCTACCCTAGAGTTTGTCATCGTTCCATGGGTGCATGCAGTTTTAACCACTTCCGCACCACCCTATAGTAGAAATACTGCTAAAGGGCGGTACGGGTACACAAAATCATATATATATATGTGTGTGTGATTTGCATTTTCGCGGGCCAGGGGGGGGGGGGGCACGGGTGCCGTTCTTTGATCCCCGAAGGATCAATCATCTGATTTAGCCAAGTGATGGTTGGCCTAAATTGGATGATCGATCCCTGTCCTATCGGGGATCTTCCTGTACCTGTGTTTACACTTACACAAGTAGAGGAAGTGATGAAATCCCTCTCTGGGCACACTCCATCCCAGAGAGAGAGAAGAATCAATACACAGTGAGTAAAACAGCACACTTTTCACAGTTAAAACACTTTAGGACACATTTAAGCCCTTGATCACCCCCCCCCCTTCACTGCCCTGTCACCAGTGTCATTAGTACAGTGTACAGATTTTTTGCTGATCACTGTATTTGTGTCGCCGGTGACTTCAAATAGCGTTAGCGCTAGTTAGCGCCCCTGCCAGATAGCGTCAGATTTCCCTTCAGCACACCAGTAATCACATTTTACCCCTTGATTTCCAGGAACATGCTCACTTACACAATAAACCTCCATTGCTAGTATAGTGTCTGAACGGATCAATATCTTTGATCAGATCAGCACAATGCCAGCATTCACATTACTATAGTGTCCCCAAAAATGCAGCATTAGCGGGATCAGCCCCGGCACCAGCCAGCACCTGCGTTTAGCCCTACGCTTACCCCCCCCCCCTTCTCCTCCAGCAAACTGCAGTGTCAGCAGATCACTGTCACTTGATACATTACACACAAAACCGCAGTGTTCGCAGAATCAGGCCTGTTAGCCTGTTAGCATTTGCCGGTAAAATGTTTTGTAGCGGTTCAAGAAATCCCTGACAGCCTGGTGCTCTTTTTCTTGTGAGTCACTCTAGGTACCTATAAATTTAGTGGCTAAAATGTCAATTGAAAGGTACTCTAGGCCTACAGGATTCTGAGCATGGCAGATGAGAGCGAAGGGGAAGACTCACTGACACAATCAGCCTCAGAATATGAACCTGTAGACTGCAGCGGCACCCTGACAGATAGCTCAGACGATGGAGAAGAGGTCCCTGCTAAGATCACACGTACCCGACCCCGTTCCCAGGTTGCTGAGATGTTACAATTGCATGATGACTCTCATATGCAGCAGAGTGCCAGTACTAGCGCCGCTCTACATTTTGGTGAACTGGCGAGCACCAAAGGCCTAGTACATCCTGGTCTTTCACATACCAGAACTGCAGTATCACTTGGTGACATGGCAAGTCCATTAAGTGCAGTAGGAGCTGGTGCGGCCACGAGCACAAGTAGTGTCCTGTGGCCACTAAGAATTCGCACACAGGCCCGTAGAGCAGCCCACAAATTCTGCAGCACCCAAACTTCCCCCATTTACAGCCCAGCCCAGAATTCAGGTCGAAACAGCAAATTTAACGACTCCCCTTGATTTTTTGGAGCTGTTTTTCACGGAAGATCTGTATGCATTGATTGTGGATCAAAGCAATTTATATGCACAACAGTTTATCACCGCCAATCCAACCTTGCCAGACCATTCACATGGAAACCCATTACGGTTTCCAAATTTAAATTTTTTTTGTGCCTAACCCTCAACATGGGCATTGCTAAAAAAAATGAATTGCAGTTGTATTGGTCCACAGACCCGATTCATCATATGCCCGTGTTCTCTGCTACCATGGCCAGGCATAGATATTACTCCCCAAAATGCATTCTGCTACTTCTCCCAAGTATGGGGATACCACATGTGAGAGACTTTTTGGCACTCTAGTCAAGCACAGGACCCCAAAATCCAATAAGCCTGAAGGAAAGTAGTCACCCCAAGGAATTTGCTAAGAAGCTTGGTGAGTATTTTTCAGATCTCGTTTGGTGCCACAAGTTTTTGGAAAATGAAGAAAGGAAACAAAAACATATTTTTTCTTTTCTTTTTTTATATTTCAAAACCTTGTGAGAAAAAAATCAGATCTGCAAAATACTTACCATGCCTCTTTTTAAATTCCTTGGGGTGTCTACTTTCAAAAAAGGGGTCATTAAGGGGGGGGGGGTTGGTGCTATCCTGGCATTTCAGGACCTCCGAAACTGTGCTAGGTAGTGAGAAAATAGAACGAGGAAGTTACTACCTTCAATCTTTTAAAGTGGTCATTGGATTTCAGGCTCCTGTATGTGGCTAGGCTCTCAAAACGTCTCACACATGTAGTATCCCCATACTCGGTAGAAGTACCAGAATGTATTTTGGGGTGTAATTCCACATATACCCATGGCTTGTGTGAGCAATATATCATTTAAGTGACAACTTTGTGTAAAACAACAATAATGTTTTTGTCATTTTCCAAAAACTTGTGGAAAAAAAAAAAATCTTCCATTGACTCAATATGCCTCTCAGCAGACAGCTTAGAGTGTCTACTTTCCAAAAAGGGGTCATTTGGGGGTGTTTGTACTGTCCTGGTATTTTAGCACCTCAAGAAATGTGATAGGCAGTCAGAAAGTAAAAGCTGTGTAAATTCCATTATCTATACCATAGTTTGCAGATGCTATAACTTTCACACAAAGCAATTAATAAACACTTATTGGGATTTTTTTGCCAAAGACATGTAGCAGAATACATTTTGGCCTGAATTTATAACTAACTTTGAGCTTACTATATATTTTTTATAGCTTTTTTTG